TATTTATACTTTTCTGACATAGTGAATTTGCTCAGAATCTCACCAGATACAGCACTGCACTTGGGTTAGAGTAGAGTTTAGTGTAGGTGGTATGTTATTTTAAAACGTGGTAGAGCATTCTGACCTTTTAGCGTCAGTCACCAGACGTTTAATTTCAGAACTGCTTCAATAGGTATAACAACGTTGTTAGATTTACATTCATCTTTATGTTATGGACATTTCATTTAAAAATGTTGCAGAACGTGCAAAAAGCAACAAAATAGTTTGCAGAAATGTCACCACAGTCACGTTTTTTTCCAGTGAGCCTGGGTTGAATTCCTGGGATAAACATTCTTTCCCTTCAGTAAATCCTGTGGAGAGCTTTGGGGTTCACGTTTGCAGTAAGCTGTTGTTTATGGGCATTCTTGAACTGTAAATGAGAGGATGTGGGCTGAACCCAAGTTAACACCACTGACAGCCTGCAGGTGGTTCTGCTTAAGGGCAAGAATGGCATAAATTATACATGGCAGCGGTAGACGAATATTAAAGATACGGAAAGGGAGCTTTGTGGATTAGCGGAAGAGCGAGAGGACGGGTATAAGACATGCTCGTAGGTGTAAGAGACACACAGCAGGGGCCCGTCTCACTGAGAAACTGAGAGAAATGGAAAGGGAAAAGAGAGAAAAACAAGGGCAGGAGGATTCACTGTTCCAGATGTTCCTGTCATAATGAGTTTTTCTTGTGCTATCTTACATTGTATATGTGTTTGTGAGATGCAGGTGAAGACGAGCAGCTCCTGTCAGAACTAAGAACACTGAGATCCATGTGTTCTTCCCTTTGGCACAACTATTCAAAATTCAGAATGAAGAACTAGTAATGAAGAATATCAATCAATTAAATGAGAAAACTGAAATCATCTAAATTCGATGCAGAACTGATTCAAACTCATCCACGTTTGCTTTGGTGGTTAGAGAAGGTGTGATGTCTTATTGCCTCTGCCTTAAACAGTAAGCAGCTCTGGACCAGTGTTATTACTAATCATCCTAAATGCATTGCTTTCCCCTTCATCTCCCTTGTATCTTCTTCCTAGATATTATAGCAGGATTACATATTCTCACACACACACACACACCTAATCATCCTTTTATCTCTCTTTTAAAAACACACACTGATTTTATCTTTTATGAATCTTGTTCAAAAAACAAACTGTCAGTATAGACTGTCCTTTAAAAAAATCTATATTAATTTCTGTCCAGCTGGATTGAGTATAAAGTGTTTGAGTCTTTGTTATTGCACTGAGCAGTCTAGACCCTAGAATAAGAATGTATCCCCTAAATGTGATTCTGCTGTACGTTTCTGGAGTTTGACATTGTTTGCAATTGCTTAATGTACAGACTCCACCTACACTTCTGTTTTGTAAATATCAGCTATTTTTTAAACTTAAATTAACAGAATATCTAACCTTCTAAAATATAAGCAGAATTGTCATTTTCTTTGTTTCTTTTCGTTTTTTCTTAGAGTTTATAAACAATTGTATATACCTGCCAGTATTACTTGTGTATGTATTATGTGTGTGTGTGTGTGTGTGTGTATATATATATATATATTGTCCCTAAAAAGTATTTGGACAATTAATTCATTATTATATGACAAGATCTAAAATAAGCACAGATCTAAAATAAAAAAAATAAAAAAAGTATTTAAAGTAAAATTTTGGTAAATTACTCTCCTCCCCTAAAATACGTCTTCTGTGTATTGCCTTCTCTCCTCTTGTGAAAAAGTACACTTTTTTCACTTAAGTGGCCTTTAATCTTCTTTTATCTTATCTGCAAATACATTTGCACATTCAATAGAATTAAGCACACTTCTATTTCACAGAGATCTTGAAGCTTCCTGATGGGAGTTTATTGTCCGCCGGACAGTTCAGCTGTTGTGCTGTTGATGGATCATGGGCAGAACTTCCGAGCGTGGTTTTAAAATCCTGTACTGATGAACGGAAGAACTCTCTCTCTCTCTCTCTCTCTCTCTCTCTCTCTCTCTC